AGCTGTCCCTCCTCCGCCACCCAAGTCATCTCCTGCAACCTCCCCTGGCAGGGTGGGTTCTGGGACTGTTCTCTGGGGGCACAGGCGAGGAACCTCATTGGCCAACGTGGAAAACTGAGCCATCCCAGAATCGCTAGGGCCGAGGCTCTCGTGGGACGAGGGGCTCTTCTGCCTGAGGCGGGTGGGGTGGGGCTGATGTTGTCAGAGGGGCGTTTGGGCTGGGGCTTGGGACTGGGAGGAATTCCCTGGATTTGGAGGAGGGTTTCCCAAAGTGTGCCCCCCAGGCCATTCAGCACTCACCTGTGGGCTTGTTCAGATGTAGATTCCTGAGCCTTGCATGTCCTGCAGGTGACACTGATGGCCTGGGAACCCAGGTTTCTAATGCACAGGCCCTCCGTCCATGTCTCCCTGCTGTGCCTAGAATTCCCATGCCAGGCAAGGGAGTGGGGGGTGTCCATCCTAGAGACCTGCCCTGTGCTGGCACAGCAGGGACACTGCGTTGGCAGCTGGCCCCAAGGCTGTGCACAGCTGGAAAGAGGAAATCTAACAGTGGTGGTTCCCAGGGAAGGGATGGGCAGGAGGACATGTTAGCTGGGATTGTGGATCCTGGAGGAGCTGTGGGCAAAATTCAGAAGATCTAGTAATGTGGAAAGAAAGCAAATTCCATCTTTGTTTCTAACAGCCTCAGACTCAAATTTTGCATTACTTTTGATTCCACATTGAGTTCCGCCATAGTCACTTCCCCTGGCCATGCAGAGATTTTTACCACATTACAGCTATAGCAGGTGTCTTGGGACCTTGAACTTTTGGGAATTCTTAGGTTCTCCCCTGAACTTGCCGTTTAAGATGTTAATAAAGAAGCAGAGATATTAACAAGTCACAAAGGTATTTAAAAAATATTTTGACAACTGTTTTCAGTATGCTTGGTTCCCATTTTAATTTGATGTATTTTATTTAATGCATAGAAGCATTCTTCTGAGAAGGGGTCTTTAGGCTCCACCCAACCCACAAAGGAGTCCATGGCACAAAAGGTTAAGACCCCTCCCTGGCCACGAATGGAAATAACTCTTTATCAGGCACCATCACCCTACAGAGTTCAGGCTATCATAGCCTTCATGTGGCACGTCCCCAACACCATGTGACATGGTGTCATCCTGCATGCTTTGGGGTCAGGGGTCAGGCTGGAGTCTGGCCGTGTGCCCCGGAACAAGTCACAGAAACTTTTCAAGCCTTAGTTATTCCACCTCTGAAGCAAGGTGCTCCCCTGCCAGGGCCACGCTTGGTCCACGGTGACAGCAGCCCTTTCCTTTGACAAGTGGAACAGACGCAGAGGGGAAGCAGGGAGGGAGTTCTCCTGCAGTGGAGACAGAGGGACGTAGGGAGGCCTTACAGATGATGTGCATGTCAGGGTGGGGAAGGGCTACTTGCTGAGGTGGGCAGAGGTGATGGAGGGCTGGGGGGACGTGTGTATGGGTCACACGTGCAAAGAAGGATGGTGGATGTCGTGGGGGTGGGCAGGGAGCAGACAGATCCCCACTGGCGAGGGGGCTGCTGCTCTCCCAGCCTAACCTGGTCCCTAGAGATACCTGCCATGCAGGAGCTTTATCCAGAGCTGTCACCGCCTGCACGCATGGCCCCAGTGGCCTTCCTATAGGCAGGAATGTCCCTGAGAGGGGCACCGGGCAGTGGCCTGGGGCAGCGCTCCCTGCTCTGGGGCTCCTGTGGAGGCTGTTCCTGTCTCCGTTTGCTCTGTTTGCTCAGTCATGACGGGTGGACTTGGTCACTGAAGCCAGAAGGACAAATGGGCTTATGACAGCGGCCCCTCACTCCTGAGGCTTTGGTGTTCAGGGACAAGGGGAGATTTGCTCCAGCAAGGAGCTGGGAGGAAAGGGAGGTGGCCAGCCCCACGTCCCGGGGCATGGTTCACTGGCGGGAGCGCAACAGCTGTAGGGCTTTGCCAAAAGGTGTTTCCAGTGGGATCCAGACACAGGCCAGCCCCACAGGCACCCACGTGGCCAGACTGGGAGGCTGTCGTGTGAGCAGATTATGAGCCTGGACCGTGGAGCCAGATGGTGGTGACAGCCCCAGGAAATGCAGTATCCCCGGCTGCGTTTGCCCAGGGCAGACCCTCCACAGGCGGGGTGAGCAAGCGTTGAGCTGGAAGGGGTCTGGGGGGCTGTTGGGGGCAGCGAGGGAGGGAGGGGGGTGGCAGCCAAGGCAGTGGGTGGGAATAGGCCACCTACCTTTGTGGCAACTGGGACTGAATCCTGCAGGACCTCAGCTCTGCCCTGCAGGAAGCACAAGGGAGCCCTGACTGCTCCTGTCCGCCGTGGGTCAGAGCCACTCTCAGGGTGCTTGCAGCTGTCTTGTCTGTGGGCAGAGCAGGCCTCAGTTCCAGAGAAAGCCCCCGAGCAGGGAGAGGAGGTAGGGCAGCTTGGCCTCAGGGTCTGTTGGGGCTGCAAGTGTCTGCTCCCCGGAACACCCCATCTGGCCCGTGGGCCTTCTCCCCGGGCAGCAGGAGAGCGTGCCCTGCCTGCCTCGTGCCAGCCATGCAGCGTGCAGGCCACGTCACCTCTCTGACACCCACTCCCACCTCACCTGGCTGCCGAGGGGTTCACATGGGACAACACCCGGGGCATGGGTGCCCCATGAATGTCAATACCGGGTCATTATCATGTTCTCTGGGTTAGACCTGAAGGGCTCATTGTCCTGTGGCCGATTTCTAAACCACCTGTAAGAGCAAGGAGCCACTGCCCTCGCCTCTGTCCTTGGGAGTCGAAGCGGAGAGTGTTTTGCTGGAAGTGCCACCATGTGATCGCCTGTCTTTGGCCACCAGCGGCAGTTCCCTGGGCTGCGCAGTGGGAGGGCGTTTGGTGGAGGAGCAAGACGGGCCAGAGGCTGAGGCCTCACGCCCCTCTGCTGGCCGCTGTGCCTTGGGTGAGTCGTGCCCAAGGCTGGTTCTCACAGCGGATGAGGGTCTCCGTCGCTGGACCGTCAGGCTTTCCAGCGAATCACTTGCCTCTTAATCTCGAGGCTTCTGTTCCCCCCCGGGCTGGTCTGTGTCTCGACTCTGCCCACATCTGTTCTTCCCTCGCCCCACCCTGCACTGGAGCTTCCATCTGCCATTCTGACACGGAACCTTGGGCCAGTGCTGCTAGGAGCACAGAGGACCAAGTGGCAGTCTCAACTTCCAATTCAGCGGATCTATTGCTGTGTCCCTCGGTGGAGCTTCTTCTCTTGGGAGCTAAGACCTCTGAAACAGCTGAGCTTAAAGTTGCAGCAATGAGTGGCAAAAAGTCTGTTACGGAGCGTGACAGGTGAGGAAAGCCACCACCATGTGATTCTATGGACTTACATCTGTGTGGGCTAGAACGTCACTCCCGGCTCCAAATACTGTAGTGTCAGGGCCAATCGGGAAGCCAGAAACCACACGGGTTGTTTTAACACAGACTCTGAACTAAGGACATGGACAGATAGATGTCACGCTGGAGGAGCATCTAGTGCCCAGGTGGGCATCACAGGCCTCATGGTGGGGGGACCACAGCACTCCCAGCCACTGTGCTCACTGCGCTGACATAAGGCACAACTAGAGAGTTAGGGTGTCACCTGGGCATCGGCTGTCTGGTTAGATTAGCTGGGAATGGTCCTCCATTTGGGTACAACCTAATTCTAGTGTTCGTAGCAGCTGTTTATTAAGCATTGGCTCTGTGTGCAGAATCGTGTTCCTGTGTTTCCATCAGCAACCTTAGTGAGTAGGCGCTGCTGTCCCAGGCTGCAGGGAAGTGGATCAGGACAGGCAGAGCTTGTTTGTGGAGCACCGGGGTGGGGACACAGAAAGTTCCCAGAGGGTCTGACAAAACAAATGTCTGTGGCAGACAGACACTAAGGCGGCCCTGACCCCCCTCCTGGTGGTCACATGTGTGTGTGATCGGCTTCCCTGAAAGAGTGTGGGCGCTGTGCCTTCTAGCTAGAACAAGTGGAGTGATGGAAAGTCCCTCCTGTGATTCTGTGACATTGCGTAAGACATCCCTCTGTCTTGCCGGCAGACTCGCTCCTTCTCACTTGCTGGATGTGGGGAAGCAATGAACCACGTGGTGAGAAGGTCTATGGGGAGGGCCACCTGGCGAGGACCTGCTGACAGCCTCCAGGGCGGAAAGTGGCCGCCCACTGACAGCACCAAGCCAGGGCCCTCCGCCTTGCAGCTGCAAGGAGTGAATTCTGCCAACAACCTGAGGGAGCTTGGAAGTGGCTCCTTCCCCAGTCGAGCCTCTGTTGAGGCACAGCCCTGGCCAACACCTGAGCTGTAGCCTGGTGAGACCTGAGCAGAGGACCCAGGTGAACCCTGGCCAGACTCTTGACCTACAGAAAGTATAAGATGAAAATGTGTGCTGTTTTCAGCTGCTAAGTTTGTGGTGATTTTTTGTGCTGCTACAGCTACAAAAATTAGTTTGTTAATTGAACTAACACAGCGTTCAATTAATGTGAGTGCAGGGGTGAATGAACACATACATGATGATTCCTGGTAGCGTAGCACTTCTGGGCTCCTTGGAAAAGGGGGAGAGAGGCCAAGAGAGTGGGAGGGAGTGTCAGAACCAGGCTCCACCGGCTCTCAGGCTTTGTTCAGGCTGGTCCTTCTGCCAGAGGTGGCCTAAGTGACAGCGAGGAACGCTGCCACTGGGGCAGAGGTGGCCTCATGCCCTAAGCATGTTTTACTCTGTTTCTGGTGGCATCGGAGGTTCCATTATCCACAATCCATTCTTTCGGCTCCTAATGTTTTCTCTGTCTTACGGGTCCCCCGTCACTACTAAGAAGTGCTGGAATTGTGAATCAGGACTATTTCATGACAGTTTTAGAGGACCGACTCAGCGCCAGGGAATACACTCAGGCAACAACAAGCGAGATGCCTGTCCTACTCTTTGTGGCTTGTACATCAGTAGCAGAGACAGGTGCGCGAACCAGCAGCTGTGAGACACCAGGCGGGGCAGGAGGCGAGGCATGCCGAGGGTGGGCCAGTGGAGGGGCTCTTTCCCCCTGGGAAGGTGGGGATGGAGAAGGCTCCTGGAAGGGCCACTTTGAACCACATAAGAGCATATGGTATGCCCGGCCCTGTAGGAGAGAGCAAGGTGCTCTGGGGACAGGGAAATGAGTGTTCAGGCTGGGTGAGGACAGGACTGGTGACCTCACAATGTTGCCCTGACCCCCTCAGCTTGGGGAGGCCCCGCCTACACCTAGTGTGAGTCAGACATCAGGGCGGAAGCCCCCACCAGAGGAGGCTGGGGCCCAGCACCCAGTCCTGGGACCACCCTGGGACCACTGAAGGGACACCTTACTGCCATTGTTTCTTCTCCAGAGTCCTGGCCTCCCCTGGAAAGACTGGCCTGGGATCCAGGCTGTGAGATGGGCTGAAAGGCGGTGAGGGGAGTCCTTTCAGGACATTCACATAAAGGTGAGGTTGCAGCTGAACTTAATTCCAGTCCATAAAAGCCATAAGGACAGGGGAGTTTTTGCTGTTGTGACTTTGTCCTTAATGGGCAGCCAAACGACAAGCTGTGAATGGCCCAGTCCCCTGATCTGAAGCAGCACAGAACGTTTCTGGGAAACAAACAAATGCAGATGAAAAACAGATGCTGAGTGTTCGAGCTTTTGATGGGCCTGCTCCAAGGGACCCGGGCAGGGGGTGGGCGGGCCCTGGCCACAGGTGAGGCCAACTCTGTCAGAGGGTGCACCAGAGCCACCCACAGCGTTTGCAACTGCACCACAGCGGGACAGACGGCTGGTGAGGAAACAGTGTACAAGGGCTTAGTAGAAAGATGTAGCACCATGTTGCTGCAATTGACGATGTTGCATATAAATGCATGCTCATTTCCGTTTTCCTTCTCTTATTAATTTTCTACTGAGGCATTGCTCAGCTGGTGAATTTCTCTTTTTGCTGAAAACTCTGCCTCCCCCCATCCAGGGGTTTGGCTGGACACCAGGCTTTTGGAAGGATGAATATTTCACCATATGATCTGGCCTAGCTTGGCAGTCATGGTAAGGAACTTTTTAAAGAGAATAAGAAGGTTTGGTGGGATGAGGAAGGGTAGGGAAAGGAAGGGCTGGGAGTTGGGGGACAGACAGAGGATGTCAGGAGAAATTTCTCTACCAAAGTGGAGGCAATGGCCACATTTCTGTTCACATTTACCCTTTTGTTGGGAGGGGACGTATTGTGGTCCAGGGCATTGGGATGTTATTTTCTAGTTTTCTTCCAAATTTGCAAGGGACTTCTAGACTTTCACCTGGACATAGTCCCTCAAAAAGTCTCAAGTCTCTTTCCCAACTTATAAAATGCGGATAATTTCTACCTCACAGAGACTTATTTTGAGCCAAAATAAGATAATAAATGTGCACAGTGCTTTGAAAGGGATAAAGTAGCCGTGAAAACCTGCTCTAATGTGTATTCCCATGAAACAGCCGGCAAGTCAGGCTGGGAGAGCTGTGTCATCCAGAGCAGTCTGGGGCCTCCCACCCTCCCTTCCCTGCTTGGCAAGTTCACACCTTTACTCCAGATGCAGTGCTCACCCCTGCACACAGCCTACCCCACAGGGGTCGTTCACTGTGACCCAGCAGAGGGCACCTGGCTTCCCTATAAACAGTGGCTTGTCCTGCACAACCCCCCTGGACAATTTCAGTTTATCACAGCAGAAATTATCTGCTGTTATGGCGAAGGACAGTGACCTTGGTAGCCCAATGTTGGTGTTTGACAAGGCAAGCCCGGGCATCCTGCTGTGCCTGGGCTCTGGAGCTTGGTAGGTCCTATGAGCTTTCTTCCCACTTACTCCTCTGTGGGACTCTGTGGGACAAAGAGGCTTTAAGATAGCCCCCTCCACCTGAGTCCCATGGTGTCTTCTTTCCTATGCTTCATTCATTCATTCATTTATTTGAGCATTTCCAATGTACAGTGAGGCTACAAAAGCCAGGTGGCCAGGTGTGGGCAGGGGGAGTGGAGATGGGAGAGAAATAAGGTAACCTACTCTGGACACATGGACTATTTAGTGAGCACTTGGATTACTGAGCTGCTGATAGGATCACCATGGGATGGTTATGGCCTGAGCTTGAAGATGGATGGACAGGTGCACTGGAAGCCCCACTGTGGTGCAGTCTCCTCTCCTGCCCGCTGGGGGCAGTGCTGCCTGGGGAGGGAGCTGGGAGCTGGTTCTGTGGGGAGTCACATCCCCTCTATGCCTCTGCCCTGCTGCTCCTCTTTCTGAGCCAGCTCTGGTCCTCCCCAGCAGAGCACACCTGCTGCAGGGATTTGCAGGAGTGCAGGTCTCAGCCAGTTCTTCCCCCTGATGGCTTGTGCTGATCTGTCCCACCAGGAAGGTGGGTGACGGGGCAGCAAGTGCAGAAGGGGTGGGTTCTTGTTGATCCGTCAGACTGTCCTGCCCCTGTGATGTACGATGTCAGGGACGCCCATCCTGGGACGGAGAGACGTGGACCTGAGCAGCAGGTTAGAGTAAGGCTGGACTTACCCTGGAGACTATGTGCAGAAAGTGCAGGATTTATAGAGTTGCTTCCTTTCCGCGGAAGCCCAGGAGGGAGCCGTGTTGACGGGGACTCCTTTGCTTCAAAACATAGATAAAGTAGAGAAAAGCCAGAAGCTGGGAAAAGCTTATTTTGACACATAAACATTTCCAATAAAAGTAACAGATGAGTGTGGGATTTAGGCTGGGAGGCTGGAACAATTGAAAATATCTTTAAAAAGACACAGCCAGTTGAAAAACTAGAACAAATTAGATATGGCAGGTAAAAGGCTTGCCACAAAGAACTGGCAGCTGTTGTGACCTTGAACTTCTGGGGCAGAGCCAGCGCCTGACCAGGACACACAGAAGGTTGGTGGCGGCCAGGGGCCAGGGCTGGGGACCCAGGAGACAGGTATTCTTAGGAAGGACCTCGGGAACCTGTAGAGTGTGGAGACCAGGCAGGTTTCCCTGGGCACATGGGGCTCTGCACCCTGACTGCTCCACGACACACTGCCACACTGAGAGTCACAGGTGATCACATGGTGGGGTACAGCTCAGGTGGGGGCCCAGGGGTGCATGCTGCCTCACTGGTGGGTGCTCAAATCAGGCATGGGTGTGAAACTCAAGAAAACTCAAAGCAAACCCCAAGCTAGCTCCCCAGCCATCCTGGGGGTGTCATTCAGGACTCTGAGGAAGGGGAAGAGGAGGGGTCCACGGGCTTGTGAGGTGGGTCCTCTTCATGGGTGGCCTAGTGCCCAGCGCCTGTCCCCTTGGTATCTACCCAGATCCCAGGATGGCCTTGCCTGTGGACAGCTGTCTTCAGCCACTCTGTGACCCCATGGGGACTGTCCCTTTCCTCCTGGTTTTCTTTGTCTCTGTGGTCCCCACTTTCCCACCCGCAGTTTCTTTTTGGCAGCCTGCGAGGCTGACACATCTCGTTCAGGCACAGCGCTCTTCCCTCCAGCACCTGGATGATCAGGAGTCTCATGCACCTTGTACTTGTATGTCTGAGACACAGTTGCTTTTTCTCCTGCAAAGGTGCCTCATGGAAACTGTGGGTTTCGGAGCTGAGGACACACCCAGAGCGGGCTTGCCTGGCCCCATCCTCGGGCTTTCTGCCATATTAGCATCTCAGTGTCTTGTCTGGACCCCGAGGCCTGCCCTGCACTGGGCTCTCATGCAAGGACAGGAGAAGGAAGGGAAAAGGGGCACAGGGCTGGTGACAGAGACCATCAGAGGCTGCAGAACTTGGGACTGCTACACTTTGACAGAAGAAACATCAGAGGGCAAGTCTTGGACCTGGAGGTCTTCGTGGGTGCAGGGAGGCATAGCAGAGCAACAGCGCTGAGCACCTGAGCCAAGTTCAAAGGGAACAGCTGCATCCCTGCGGAGGCATGTAGAAACAGTTGTCTTCCCAACTGAGAAGATTGCAGCTATATGCATATCATATATATTAACCATATAACTAGAAAAATAATCAGATGAGGGTCTGTCTAAGATGCTGGAAGCAGGATGTGCTGCAGACCTAAGGAATGGCCCCATGGCTGGACATGGAGGCAACGGGGTAGTTTACACTCTGCCTTCCGGAGCTGAGCCTGGACTTCCTGCCCTGGGGTCCATCTCTGTCATTGGTGATCTGTACCCAGTTTTCCTCTTCATGGTTCAGGTGAATGGGTGCTCCCAGCCAGTCCTGGCTTCCAGGTGCTCTGCAGTTCAGAGGGGCTGGCGGGCAGCAGCCGCTGCACTGCACCCGCGGCAGCACTGCAGGCTCCATCAGGGCATCCCCGTGCACCTGCCATCCAGCAGACATTTCCGCCTGCCTGTGGAGGACAGTCTGGGAGTCCCAGGGCCTCTCTACAAAGTGGACACATGGAAGAAAACCTGGCTCCAAGCCCCACGCATCCGGCCTGGGATGTTGATGTGCGTGCTGCCTCTGCCAGGGCAGGCACTCCTCCCCCAGTGCTGATGTCCCTGTCTCAGCTTGGCCGCATGTAGGAAGCAGCGCCAGGGCCCCAGCTGCTCTGCTCCTCCCCCCAGAAGGCAATTCTCGTCCAGGGAGTTCAGGTAGCCAGTACCCTGGGCCTGATGAGCCTCAGTTCCCAGCACTCTCTCTCCATTCTGATTGCTAGAGGACACTCCAGGCTGTCTTCCCCTCACCCCCTGCCCCGTCCCTGGCCTTGCACACACATGTGGGTTGAATGCACAGAAGAAAGAATGGGTGATCGCTTACGGTGAGGAGGAACCAGGCAGCCAGCGACATCTAAAGCTGGAAGAGAACTCACAGAGGGTTCCCTTGGAATCCCTTACTCTGTCTGTTTGGGCCCCTCTTCCATGCTTGCTGGAAAAGAGGCTGGGAACTTGCCCAGTGTTGGCAGGAGTCTGTGGGGGCTCGAGGGTGTGTGGGGCAGATCTTGGCTCACTGCAGGAGTTCAGTGTAGCTTCAATCACTTACTGGAAGATTCCACTGCTCTCCTGAGTCCCCAGACTGAACCCTGGAGTCTTCCACAATCCATGTTGTAACTGATGACTCGTGCTGATTTCTCTGTTCTACTTCTGGAAATGGTTTTAGACTTGTGGGGCTGGTTGGGTAGAATCCTACAAGAACAGATATGCATTGCTTCCTTTCTGCATGTCCCGTGACCGTGTCTGAGCTTCCGTTGCTACTGAGAGGACAGACAACAGAGAGCTTTACAATTCCCTCTGCAAATGTTGTGCTTATTTGGAATTTAGTTCTACATTGGGTGATGTGTCACAACTCTGCTAAAATCAATGAACTTCAAGGTCTTACATTAGACCAACAAATCTCTTGGACATTCAGTGCTGAAACTCCTTTTGCACATATTCCTTCAGAAATCTGAGAACCAGATAGTTGGAATTCTCTTTGCAGCCTGTTTTTATGTTCAGCCACTTGGAAATTTAGCACATGGTGGGAACTCAAATATTTTGCTTAATAATTGCAGACTCATTAGTTTCTGTACAACTATGAGGGCAAACTATTAAATGACCCTCTATGTATATGGGCCTTAAGAAGATTAAAAACATGATTCTGTAGAACATGAGTCTATAGAAACAATGTTGCCTCTGTCGTTTCTTCTAAGGTTTTATTCTACTGATATTCTATTACATTCTAATGTTGCTTCTAATGTTATATTGAACGGGCATTGTTTCATCTTCTGATTCCAGGAAGCAGAAGCAGAATGGGAAATGAGTGCCACCACTCTTGGAAGCTCACTAGATCCGTGTCACAGAGCCACTGGGATGGGAGGATTTGTGCTGCCAGGGAGGTGGTTGGAGGTAGGCAGAGACCGGAAGCAGCTTGCTGGAGGAAGCTGTGAAAGTGATCGTTATCCGCTGGGGATGCCAGAGAGGGACAAACATTCTCAGAGACGCCACATCAGGGCTGCTGGTCACCAGTTGCCACGCAGGATGGGTGGTGCAGTGCCTCTCAAGGTGGTATGCAGGCCACGCACAAGTGACCAGGTGACCCCGTCCTCTACTGACCCCTCACCCTGGTCAGCACAGATTTACAATAAACACCACGTGTCTGTGTCACACTTGGCCCTAGTATGAGGCCAGGCAGGCCACGTGTCTGCGTTTCAGCAAAACGCAGCCCACCTGTTTCTGCAGCATTTGCCTGAAATGCATCGGAGTCTAGCTGTCCACGGCTGGTGAGGGGTCCAAATGCCCCTTAAAATTAAGCTGATTAAAGGTTTCTTTTCTCTATTCTGAAGAAGCAAGTCATGCTCCACCAGTGGATATCTGCAACTCATCTTTACAAAAGGGTTTTCACACTCTAAGCTGGCTCAAACGAAGTGATTTACAAATCACTAAGCCTTTTCCCACCTTTCTTACACCTGGATGGAAAAACCCTGCTTGTGTTTGAGGAGCAGCTGAGAACCAGACTGTGGGTTTGTTCGCCCATGTGTCCTGAACTGATTTCTACTTTTGGTTCTGAACGTGATGTGAGCCCAGAACCGTCATGGTGTTGCCCCCTCCAGGGTAGCCTGGAAAGCGGTTGCAGGGGTGACCTCTGGGATGGGACACAAGGCAGCCTCAGCTGGGCCACACGACAGGCTCCTGGCGAAGCGGGGTTGGAGCTGGCTCCCGGAAGGGGTGGAAACAGCTTCGTCCTCAACATCCGCAATGTCTGCAGTTGCAGGATTGCCTTGGAGAGAACTTGCCTGAGATTTTCCTGGAGAGGAGTTCTGAAACTTTTCCAAATCATTAGCTAAAGGCTGCCCAAGCGATTTCATAGAGAGGAAGCAACTGTGGGGTTTGCACAGGCACTTGCTGACTCGGCAGCGCGGGCAGCGCCGACCTGGGGGTCCTCCCGCGGCTCCGTGAGCGTGGCGAGGGCCTATCTTTCACCATCGCCTCCGTGCGCAGTTCTGATAACGGCTCCTTGTAGAACTACTATGTGGATTTAGCGGAGTTATTGCCCGCAGAGCTCTCGGCTCTCTCTGGCACGTCGTGAACAATGTGTGCATTTTAATTCCTGGAATTCTTGAGGACATACAGTAGGCACTGCTGCGTTCTTCTCTCGGAAATCACCCAGAGCAGCAGGGAGAACGAAGCCAAAATCTGCCTATTTTTTGATGAATTAGGTGCAAGTACCCCCTGCCCCCAGCCACACAGCATCGTCCCCCTCTTGCTCCACCCCAGGGCCTTGGCACCCGCTGTATCTTCCCCTGTGTCGCACTTCCTCACCTGCTCACCTGTCGCATCTTTTTTCTCCTGCTGCTGAAGGAGAGCCCCAGCACGTCGCGCTGTGTGTGCCTCTGCAGAGCCCAGCAGCGCCTAGCTCACGCGAGCATGGGGTACATGTCTGCTGATGCTGTTGCTATTACCATCACGTCTGTGGGATGGAGGAACAGGGCCGGGGGCACGGTGAGGTGGCAGAATGTACTGACAGCACTTCCTGCCTGGATCTTGGCCTTGTCTGGACATTTCACATCAGACACTTTCAGGCTCCTGCTTTGGAAGGGCATCCAGAGGTTGCTTTGCTTTGCCCTGATGAATTGCAAGCGACTTCAGATTCATTACGCGTTGTGTGTGTCGTGCAGCTGGATCCCACACTGACAGAGATACAGACGTGCACGTTCAAGGAGAGCTACGCTAAGGAGGTCAAGCTGGGTTATGTTATGGCAAACGCACATGCATATACATGCGTACACACACAGACACACACAGACACACAGGGAGATTCACAGATACACAGAGACACACACAGACAGACACAGAGACACACAGAGAGACACATGCGTGCTGGGCTTGGACATATCCATCTCGGTCCCACTACAGGCTGTGAAATGCCTCCTCCCCTCCCCCGCCCCAGGAGTGTCCGTCGGTGCCTAGAGGCAGGGCAGCTCCCAGAGCCTGGGCAGGTGCTGGTCCGAGCCCCTTCCCATGGGCCCTGCTTCCCCTTCTCCTGCCTCCCACAGCCTCCCTCCTGCTCTCAGCAACCCGTTCGGTGAAAGTGAACGTGAGACTGGTCGTGATCGGAAAAGCAAGTCCCTACAACCTGGGGCACAGGACCTGCATGTGCCGCAGGCCTGGGCGTCCTCCTCCTCTCCTGGGCCTTGAGGGGCCTGGAGCCACAAATGACCAGGTTTGCAGATGCAGGTGGAGCTGCTCCTGCTCACCAGCGTGGGGCTGCCCCTGCTGGCCCAGCCATTTGCTAAAAGCCACCGGTCCTTCTGTGCAGGCAGAGGCTGTGCCTTGGAATCTCCCTCCTGGGAGGAGCATTTTGATTTCTGTCTCACTGATTAGTAAACCGAGGCTCAGAAAGGTTAATTAGCTTTCTCAGGATCACACACCTTATCTACCACAGAGCTGAAACGAGAAACGGTCCGCCCAAAATCCTGTCCTCAATTCCTATGCTAATACTGGAAATTTCTGCAAACAAACCATATGAAACCATAACGAGTTGGAGAGGCAGTGCAGTCTGGTAGAGTTTTGGGGTCAAGTTCTGTTGCCTCCACCTGTGGCTGCAGGGGGGTCACTTTATTTCTCTGCACCAGTAAAAGAGAGAAAGGACACCTGGTGAGGTCATCTCAGCTGGAAACAGACGTGCTCGGGAAACTGCCAGGTATATAAATATTCATTACCATTATCCTTGGTGGTAACAGTGTCTACCAACATTAAAAACAGAACGAAATTGCCCAGGAAATCCAGGACACAAATAATGGGCAATCTGTTTCATAAACACACTTTCGTAAGGTGAAGTTCCCGGAGCTGTGCCCTCACCTTGGCCGGGTTTCCCGTACCCTCAGCGTTGCCAAGGCAGCCAGGGACTCGAGGCGTGGGCTCAGGGCACGTGGAGCCAGGCTTCGGTGACACCACGGGCCCAGCCAAGTTGGGGTTGCAGCCTCCTCACTGGAGAAACAAGGAATCAGAGGCTTTGCGGTTGATTCTGGCGCACTCCTGAGCCAGCTGAGACAGAACGACACCATGAATGTGAGGGCAGAGGCTGCTCCTCCGCCGGGTGGCAGGAAAGGGGCAGACACACCGGCAGGGCCAGCTCTATGCGGTAACCGCGTTTGACACTGAATCTTCCCCTGAGTGTCCTTGTGGGAAGAGCAAGCCCCAAACCCTGGTGCATGTCCCCAAACATGCCCTCCCCGGTGCTGCACATTCTCCCTTCATGTGAGGGTTGGGCTTTATCCCACGGGCTTCATGCCGGGGATGCCAACAGCATCGTGGAGTTGGCTGCACCATGGGGCTTGCTCGTGGGGCACTGTGGCGTTAGGCCCTCAGTGAAAGCCGAGGGCATGGCATAGAACGTGACTTGGCTAATGCGGCCTCCGTGTGCAGCTGGCCGAAGTCACTTGATTCCATGTGTCCTCCAGAAAGTGCCAGTGTTAGCCTCGGGGTCACCATTTCTACAAAGAAGCGAATTCGCCCTGTGGAAACAGCTCAGTCTCCCAGTCTGTGTCTGTCAGGGGCACATTCTCCCTCCCTGCTTCCCAGTCTGAGCAGTGTGGGCCCGGGCACCGCCATGGGGACCTGCCTCCTGCGTCTCCTCCATCCCTAAGTTGCCCCTCAGACACCAGTGTGTGCATGCTCTGCCTGCTGTTCCCACACGGAACCCCACTTCCTGTCCCGTCGTCTCTGGCCTCCTAAGAGGTCTCCCCTCCCTCTTCTCTCTCTTGTAGCTCCCACGTGTTGCCAGCAGATCCGTCGTGCTGGAACCCTGCTTAGGGCACACCCTCCTCTGTGCGGAGCCCTCCACGGCCCCCTGTGCCTTCTCAGTCAGGGCCTCCCAGCGGAGGGTCCCTCATTTCCCACCGGTACGGGGAGCCCGGCCCTGGGCAGGAGAGGCCCAAAGCCCCGGCAACAGCCAAACGTGACCTTCCCTCCAGCCCTGCTCAAGCAGAGAGAGCTCCACAGTCCTGGGGTGGGGGCGGCCGCCTGATCAGAGAGGACACGGTACCAGGGCTCCAGCCAGCGGAGGCCACGGGCAGATTTACCGGACACTCTCCAGACCTGCTGCCCGGAGGGTGCACCCCACAGCAGCAGAGGAGAGTGCAGCAAAGTCCCGGGAGGAAGAGGAGATGTGCGGACAGGCTGCTGTGCTTTTATCTAAGGAAGCCCGTCTGATCCTTCCCCACGCACGGGCACCGCAGGCAGAGGGGCCCCCACTTGCAGGGCTTTCCAGCGCTGAGGAATCGAACATGGGGACAGGCAGGACAAGCCCAGGGCTGCTGCTGAGCCAGCCAGGGGGCCTCAAGGATGTGGCTACAGACCCCCAATGGAGCCTGGCACACCTGCCAGACCAGAACGTGCAGAGGGGACCCGAGTCCCCTGCAGCAGCATAGCCAGAATCCGGGAACTGCAGTGGTGGAAGCTCGGGGTGTCTTGGGGCAGCTGACAGTGCATGGCTGTTTCCCCACAGGGTTTCTTCATAATCCACCCAAGAAGAGCTTGTTAGAGACAACATAACCAAACCTAAGGACAGTGCAAGGCCCAGAAGGTGGGACATGTGGGTTGGGAAGTGTGTGTGAGGGTTGGGGGTAGGTGTGCTTTCCCATGTTTGTGTTGGAACTCGAGGCCAGCCTTCACCCCTTCGTTCCTCCTTTCAGGTCACACGCAGGCCCTGCGGTAGGGTGGGGCAGGGCGGGCAGGCAGGGCTGTGTCCTGCGGAGAAGCAGCTCTGCCGCCAGCCACCTCCCTGTTCTGTGGGATCTGCCCCTCAGCATCAGGCAGGTGCATTCTGGAGTCACATCCTTTCCCTCCAGGGGCCTGGCCACCCTCAGAGATGGAAGAGACACGCTGGAGTGGCCAACCGTGTTGCTGCAGCCAGTTTTAGCTGGAGGAGAAGCCCGGGGAGCTGTCAGTCTCCTGCGTGAGTAGCACTTGGAACTTAAAACCGAATCCGAAGCGAGGGATGGGGAAGGGACCTGGTTCCAGTCACCATTCACACCTTTGTCGTTGGTGTTGTGGGGTGTTCTGGGGTGGTGGCGGCTGTTGTGGCTGATTGATGGGGGGGGCGGGGCCGCTGCTGTTGTGGGTGGTGCTGGTGGGGGCGGATTGTTTGATGTGGTGGCGGTGGTGAGGAGGGGAGGGGTTCTTGCTGGCAGGGGGGGGCATCATGCCTGGGGGCGGGGCGGCGGCGGCGCTGCTGCCCGCGGAGATGTTGTTCTGGTTTTTTTCCGCCCGGGGGGTGCTGGTGGTGCTGCCGGTTGTTCTCACGGGGGGTCCTCACGCTGCTGCTTGGTGGTCCCCCGGGGGTGTTCTTTTTTTGGTTGGTTGTTGTGTGGTGGGGCCTGAGTGTGGGTGTTTTGAGAGCTCCAGCGGTCAGGCTGCTTGTCCCCCATGGGTCTGTCCATGACTCTGAACCTGCCTCCTGTTAGAGTCATTGGAGCTTCCCAGTGAACTCCACTGACCTGCCCACAGACTGGCTGAGAGCTGGGAAAGCCTCCTAGACATGGAAACAGCGAGAGAGAAATGCCAAGGCTTTGCACTCCAAGGAGGCTTTTACAATCTGGAACCCTCTCCTTACTTATGGTAAGAGTGAGAGTATTTCCTCTCACTTCTCTGGTGAGTCCTAGCATTCTTTCCTAGATGATCTCTTCAAAATGTGAATATCTACTTACTTCTCTGGTTCCTATTCACGAAGGAGGCACGTACTACCTGATAACAGACCATGATCAAGTGGATTTTACACCAGGGATGCACGGATGGTTCAACATACATGAATCAATAAATGTGATATATTACATAAACAGAATTAAGGACAAAAACCACATGATCATCTCAGTAGACATGGAGAAAGCATTTAATAAAATTCAGCATCATTTCATGATAAAAATCCTAAGTAAACTAGGCATTGAAGGCTACATGCGACAAACCTACAGCCAACATCATACTGAACGGGGAAAGTTGAAAGCATTCCCCTTAAGAACTGGAAGAAGACAAAGTTGCCCACTGTCACCACTTCCATTCAACATGGTACTGGGAGTCCCAGCCAGAGCAATCAGGCAAGAGAAAAAAAAAGGCATGTAAATTAGAAAAGAGGAAGTCAAGTTTTCTCTATTTACTGATCTTATATCTAGAAAACACTAAGGAATCCACCAAAAAACTCTTAGATTTGATAAATGAATTCAATAAAGTTTCAGGATAGAAAATCAATATATAGAAATCAGTAGCATTGCTATACACCAACAATGAGCTAGCCAAGAACCAAATTAAGAGTTTCATACCATTTGCAATAGCTATAACAAACAAACAAACAAGCCAACCTAGGAATGTATTTAACCAAGGAGGTGAAAGATCTCTATAAGGAGAACTACAAAACACTGATGAAATAAATTACAGATAATGCAAACAAATGGACAAATATTCCATGCTCATAAACTAGAAGAATTAATATTGTTAAAATAACCATCCTGCCTAAAGCAATTTACAGGTTCAATGCAATTTATTAAAATACCAACATCATTTTTCACAGAATTAGAAAAAACAATTCCAAAGTTCATATAGAACCAAAAAAGGGCCCAAATAGCCAAAGTAATCTTTAGCAAACAGAACAAAGCTGGAGGCATCATATTTCCCAACTTCAAATTATACTAAAAAGCACAGAATACTACGTATACTACCAAACAGCATAGTACTGGTATAAAAATAAACACATAGATCAATGAAACAGAATAGAGAATCCAGAAATAAATCCACATACTTATAGCCAACTGATCTTTGACAAAGTTGACAAGAACATATGGGAAAATTGGATTACTATGTGCAGAAGAATGAAACTGGACCCTTATCTCTTATCATTACAAAATCAACACAAGATGGACTAAAGGCTTGAATGTAAGACCTGAAAGTATAAAAATCCTAGACAAAAATCTAGGAAAAATTCTTCTGGACATTGGTATGGGCAAAGAATTCATGAATAAGACCTCAAAAGCACAGGCAACAGAAACAAAAATAGACGAATGACACTTAAATAAACTACAAAAGGTCTGTATAGCAAAAGAAATAATTTGAGTGAACAGACAATCTACAGAATGGGAGAAAATATTTGCAAACTATACATCCTATGAGGGACCTATATCCAGAATTTACAAAGAACTCAAACAACTCAACCACAACAAACAAAACCCAATTAACTCCATTAAAAAGTGGGCTAATGACATGAATGGACAGTTTTCAAAAGAAGACAAACAAATGACCAATAAGTATATAAAAAATGTTCAACAACACTAATCAGAGAAATGCAAATTAAAAGCATAATGGGATATCATGTCACACAAATCACAGTGGCTACTAGTAAAAAGACAAAAAATAACAGATGTTGGTGAGGATACAGGAGAAAAGGGAACACTTACCCACTGCTGGTGGGAATGTAAATTAATGTAACCTTTATGGAAAACAGTATGGAGATTTCTCAAAGAACTTAAAATAGAACTACTATATGATCCAGCAATCCCACTTCTGGGTATTTACCCAGAGGAAAATAAATCAATACATGAAAGAGATACCTGCACTCATACGTTTATTGCAGCACTATTCACAACAACAAACAGATGGAATCAACCTAAGTGCACATCAGTGGAAGACTGGATAAAGAAAATACGGTATAACACAGTTCAGCTGTGAAAAAGAATGAAA